GGCTGCAAGTCTCAAAGATAAGAGGTCATCTTCAGGATGTTCATGTATATTTGTTACATATAATTATTGACTTGTATATATGATTATAACCAACTTACCAGTTAATGGACTCAATGCTTGTTAGAAGAGGACATTCACTGGTGTAAACTGGAAACTAGAAAATTGATTTGAGATGCCATTACAGTCCTGCTCCCAACAAATATGGAAGGTAGTGAGATGTTCCTATACTGAATGTATTCATAGGTTCAGGTCCCTTATTAATTTAATGTTTTTATATGCCAGAAAATATGTTAATATTTGAACAAATGGGACTGTAATTTATGATTTTAGCTTTGTTACTTCAATATGAAGGCATCAGAACATTGGTACATGAACAAGATGGCATGTTACATGATTATGTATATGTTTTGTACAGATTTAGTTATTCACTAGTGTAGTATAAGCTGAAGAGAGCCATACGTTTTGCAGAATTGGAAGGGAAATTAAACATAATATCTTACAGTAATTTTGTTCCGACAAATGCTATGAGGAAATGATATTGGAATGTTTCCGAGTTTGTTTAGTGTCACATTCAATGAATTTCATTTTTGTTCCATGTGTCTACTACAAGGAACAGTCTTTGTTACTGCAGTAACTTTAACATGGGGTGGAAGAAGTCAGTTGTCTTGCTTATGTATAGAGTTAGATGAAGATTCAACCAATTTCTGCAGGTGGCTGAAGCTTCCACTGTACTGGGATTTGCCTATTTATGTGCACAGCTATCACATGAAGCTCTTAAGGATCTAATATAATTGCAGATAGCCAAAATTAGTGATTGTTGTTAATAATATGTTTATTACAATTATTCACTGAATTAGTGACTACAAAACCACATAAGTAAACCAGAATAGCTTGAAGCATGAGCTTTTGATTTTCAGAACCATGCTTTTTAAGTTATAATGAATATCATGGTTTTAGATATGAATTGGAAGAAAGGTGTCCCCAGACTGCTGGTTTTAAGATGACATATATTAAGTGATAAATAAACTCTTCCCCAATAAGATTTTTCTTTCACAGTAATGAAAATTATTGAAGTCCATTGGAGATATAAAACCTGAAGAAGGCTCTCTGTTTGTTCAGAAGTATGATATTTATTTCATTATATCTACATTTTATATAACACAGATGGCAGTAGGTTAAAGGGGCCAAAAGTTAAAAGGAAAAAGATTTTTTAAATAAATATTGCATTGTATTTTAGAGAGATGTAGCTCAGTTGGTACAGCAATAAGCTATTAGCTGGATGACCAAGGAATCATGGTTCAATTCGCTGCAGAGGCAAGAGATTTTCTCTTCTTCACACT